CATGCAACTTCCATGCATGTGCATGTGTCTCCCACATGTGCCCCACCCCCTACGTGTGTACAGCAAAGACTCGAAAACCAGCTGGCTGGCAGGAGGCTGGTGCACATGTGCGGCACAGCAAACCTGGGGCGGCGGCTTGCATGCCCATAGAGAGAGCTCTGCATGCCACCTGTGGCACACGTGCCATAGGTTTGGCATCATGGATTTAGGGGTTCAAATGGATTCTAAATCCTTATGGTTCAAATTGATTGTTATTCCATATGCATTCCTTATAAGACCAAAAAAAAGGAAACTTTTCTCTCTTTTTGCATGACTTCTGGTGTGTTGGTTTTTTTTTTTTTTAATGAATTGGCCAGAAGCCCATTTTCTGTATTTATCATTTCAATTGAAGAAAGTTATAAAGTATAAATAATGAAATTTGGCTACTTATACATAAAAGTCGCAGCTTGTAAGGTAGCCTTTGAAACAGTACCTGTTTTACAAAGCCTAAGAGCTCTTCAATTGAGTAGGGCAGATGTTACCCTGTTTGATGCAGCCATTCTAAGAAGAATAGAATGCCAGCCAATAGTAATGGGACCTCTCTTTTCTCAGCCACTGCCAGAGAGCGAATACAATGGCAGCCCTGAGTCGGTGGGCTACCGATTGCGCTACTCACGCCTTGATGGGCGCAGCCACACCCTGACCAACACTATCCATGACCGTGTGGAGCGCGAGTTCACCATTGAGGACCTGGAGGAATGGACCGAGTACCGTATACAGGTGCAGGCCTTCAATGCTGTTGGGCCTGGGCCATGGAGTCAGACTGTGGTGGGGCGAACCCGGGAGTCAGGTATTCTTTTCCACTCCAGCTGTTTAAAACAATCTGCTAGGCTTATCACTGCCTGCTTGGAATTTAGCATGCGAGGTTCTGGACAATGTAGCAATGTGTAATTCTTGCCTGTATGTTTTGTGTATGCAGTGCCTTCATCTGGACCCACCAACATTTCAGCACTAGCTACCACATCTACCTCTATGCTAGTGCGGTGGAATGACATCCCTGAAGCGGATCGAAATGGATTTATCCTAGGCTACAAGGTATTAAAAATATAGATCTTGATTTGGTATTCCTTTCCTACTTGCTTTCTCTTGTGCCATACTGCCAAGACCTGACCTAAAGCACCATATTCCTCCGCACCTAACCTTATTCTCTTTCTTCCAGCTTCAGCCTGAATCGCTGCTTGCAGACCCTATCATTGTAGAAGATTCCTTAGTGAACATTTTGTTCAGTCTTTTAATTATTATGTTCCCACAAAATGGCCTTGCTTCTTTCCCCCTCCTCATTTTCCTTCCTTCAAATCCTGTTTTCATGCCACGCCTTATCCTTACCCAGAGCTCTCATCCTATCAACTTTACAGGAACAGATGCCAGTTCATAAGGGTCCCCTGATTAGCACTGGGGGGGGAGGGGAATGTTTGCCTTTATTTTTATCATTGATGCATCTTCTCTTCTAGATCATGTATAAGGAAAAGGATTCAGATTCCAGGGCCCAGTTCTGGTTCGTGGAAGGCAATGCCTCTCGGAGTGCCCAGCTCATAGGTTTGGGAAAATATGTCCTTTATGAGATCCGGGTGCTTGCTTTCACCCGCATTGGTGATGGTGTGCCCAGCAATCCACCTATACTCGAGCGCACACTGGATGATGGTAGGTGTCCCATAATTCTCTGTCTCTCAGCTATATTTACTTTTAAAAAAGGGTAGCAACCAAACATCAACACCATCTTCATCTAGAATGTTCAATAATTCAAGCCCTAATCATACCCTTTCTCTAAATTATTAAGCATACAATAAACTTCCTTTTTCATCCTTCGTGCATCGTGATCTGCCAAAGAGTACAATTTTCCTTCACCTCTCTGCATGTCATCCATGAACTTCATTCCACACCCTTGTAATATCAACTTCCATCCCACCTAGTGCCAATCCTGGAGCCATCTTTGAGCATCTTCAGGGTTGCCACAGCGAGGCTGGATGGAGCTGTGGGGAAAGGAAGGGGGAGTAGAGAGTGTTGGGTTAATGTCAGGGTTCCAGGTAACAGCCCAAAACGAAATCAAAATCCCAGGCCAGAGGCTTCCTCAAAGAATAGATTTATTAAGCAGGTCATATTGGCACAGCTGGTGAAAAGCCGACTCTGAAGTTTCCCCACCCAATTCAAAATCTAAAGTTCTTCCCCCTCATTACACAAAACCATCACATGCCCCAATCAGGTCACACTCCTTCTGCCAGGCCCCTCCAGGTGCTGGTGAGAGTGTCCTTGGTTCCCAGAAGAAAGAATGTTATTTTGGCTACATATTCCCCTCAGCTAACTCTACTCTCCCCCTCCTTTCCCACAATTCCATCCACCCTCACTGTGGCAACCCTTTTTTAAAAAAAGTTTTTTATTGAACACAAATTAAAACATTGGGCACAGTGTAACCGTCCTGGCAAAGTCTTTGCCATACATACTAAGTTATAAAGTTATACATTATAATCACCATGCTTATTCACATTTGGCCTATTCAATATTTACAAATATAAAAATATCATATTTCC